GTTATATTTCAACATGATCAATGTATAGAATGTGCCTTTATATCCATGAAATCTTATTTATACATTTTACTTATGGCATATGAGCATGACATAGAGTCCAATGAGTTGTTTTAATTACATTAAGTGTATGAGTTGATTTATAGGATTTTTTTCCCTTCTCAATTAAAAGGTAATAAAATTGAGAAGATTTTTAAAGCAATAAATGTTATACTTAATATCTGAATAATAAGGAACAGAAAAAAATGTTTATTAACCAAAAACACCACCCCAGTACTCCGAAGCTGAAACAACGTTGAAAATCAACATATCAAAATTTGAAAATTTTAAGCTTTTTCTCCAAGTTAAAAACTGTTTAGCATACTAGCTTATAGCTATAACTCACCCTATTCATACATCAAATGAGAATACTGAGCAATTCCAAGTCATTTATAAAATAAAATGGTGTTGTTATTTAAATGAATCTAAGCTGAAAAGTGAAACAAAATGATCAAATGCAATCACTCAGAAAGAATGAAAATTAAGAAAACTGTATCCACTATGTTTCAAAGAACTACTAGTTTCAAAGAATTCTGAACAGAATTTTTAATGAAAACTTACAAAAAAATATATATATAAACTATCAGTTAGTAAGTCACTAAGTGCCCTCTTTTAAAGCATTTCAAAATTCTGGGTCTAAAAATTCCTGTACATTATCTATTTTAATAAATACATTAACATAACACACACAAACAAATACATAGAATTACTTATGACAATGTGCACATACTCACATCACTTGTATCTAAGAATTTTGTTTGAGAATTTTTAGATGATCAATTATTTTTAAAGTTTTCAAAAAGATTATAGTCATAGATAGCCTTATTATTTGCATAATGTATATTGTATTCCTTCAGTGGTACTGACGGTCTTTCCTAGCACTGCCAGTCGTGATTTTTCTTACAGATAATATTAAAAATATGTCTTCACATGTGTAATACAGCAAAATATACATTGCAATACTTTCTACACATTGTTTGGGGATTTAAACTTCATTAACGAGTCTAATTTTGCCACGAAGATTTACATACGGATTTCCTCTGACCCAACTTCCGGTTAAGGGTACAAGAGATTATAGAATGTTTTCAAGTATATTACGTGGGCATACTTGAATGAAACCTTTTGGTATCTGTAGTTTATACAATAAACTTGTGGAATATCACCCCTTTTTTCGCGTATTCGATCGTTAAAGCTGAAAGGGGCATTTGACAAAAATTCAATTGCGCTTACTAACAATGCCTCATGAGATTTTCCCGGTAAAATGTTGTTATACACTTAGTTCAAGGTCATAACTTTCAGAATATCCACCAATCAAAACATCGGAGAAGGCAGGGAAGGTGTCAAGATGCGTAATATAACATGATGTGCATCGGGGTCGAAATTCCTTGTGTTTACAAAATTATGCGCGCACAGCGCCACCTATACCGCTGGCATTGCTACTCATTCTTCTTAAGAATTTTTAATTTTATGTTTATTGTGCGTTTTTCTTTAACCTTAAGACCGTCTTTCTAATATACTATTATATTAATGTTAAATATTTTTTATTTAAATTGTTTTAACTCCGCAGAAACGCACAGAGACTTCGAACTTTCATATCATATAACCGACCATCTCCTGGCGGCCGGTAATTTGTCATCAATTCAAAAATATAATTATATACTCCTAATATATGTAATCTATTTAATATTTAAGAATCTATAATATAAATTGAAATATTCATTGCGGATCAAAAATCCATTAATTATTTAAATTTCCCTCTAATATATATAACACTTTTTCTTGCATTGTAATTTAATCAAATGACCCATTTGATATAATTATATTGAATTATTTATTGATAGTAAAAACATAATAAAGGGAAATAATCAAATGTTGAACCCGCTTTTGATTGGTTCGTTTGGATCTTGAATCTCGAAACTCGAATTTTGAATCTCGAATTTCGAATTTTGAATCTCGAATTTCGAATCTCGTATTTGGAAACTCGAATCTCGAATGAGCCTTCTGGGCTTTCGTAGATCCGCGCTTGATTTTGCCGGCATATTTTGCTTTTGGGAGTTCAATATCTACAACGCATGATCAACGTCATTTTTTGACGTGATTGATTTTTCACACCTTGACTGCACATCGTCATTAACTGTGTATCCCTTTTCTCTCTGAATCTATTTTGACATTAAAAGACAAGTACTCTGAATGCTTTTTATTTCTCTTTAGCCAGTTTCAACATATTTTAGGTCTATACCAGTTTTTTTCAGGGGCAAAACTTTATAGAATGTTGGAAACGGAAACCCCTCCCCCCTTTTGACGTCATTTTCAAGGCCTCATTTGTTTGGACATTCCGTGTTAAATTTGCGATAAAATTTCTTGGAACTTCCAGAATGAAGTGAAAATTTCGTATTTCATGGAACAATTGTGTCCAGACACATACCTGTTTTAGCGTGATTTTTGGATGTCAAATGACCATACCAAAAGAGTTTTTCTCAGTTACACATAGGTCGCAATAACGCCGTGTTCGAGGTTGCGCCGCCTGGGCATACCATTGCTTACAAAAACATCGCTAATTTATTAAAAAATAAGATTTATGATTTATGGTTTATTCTTTAGATAGAAAAGATGATGCTTACTAGATATTTTAAAATTCATTGATGTGCTTAAAGCTGTTTTAATTTTATGACGCTAGTCCACGAACTTTTTGATAATCCCTCGTATTTACAATATTATATACTTTGAAATTACTTGTTCATGACATTGCTTAATCAAATAAACGAGATCGATTTAAATCTTTACTTAACTCCAAAGAGCTCATCAAGATAAATGTATGAGGTAGAAAATGCGGACCTCGAGAAACAAAGACATCATGAAACTAAATGGCAAGAGCGTCGGGTGATCATATGCTCTTTTTTGATATTTAGAATAAATTGATAAATATTGAAAGTATCGAGCTAAAATTTTCAACATTTCTTTAACATTTTTTCTTTGATGTTCCTTAAAAAGTTTGTAAGAATTGACTACATATATTTCATGTGTATTGATTTTATCGCACCAATCCACGAACTTTTCGAACAACTCTCGTATGCATGTATTTCTTAATGCACAGTTTTATGTACTAGGCATACATATTAGGTACCCATTTTAAAAAGGGAAATAAAATTACAAGGCAATGGGAAAAAAGGATGGCATACGTATTTACTCATTTAATTTTAAAGAAATAAATGAAAACTTCAAATTGAAAAGAAAAAAATTAACTTGTATTGCACACCATTTTTTTAAGAAGCATGGATTGTTTTCATCTAGACAAATGTAGTTCTTTTTTCATCAGGGAAATCTATCTGTCCTTTTTATGAGGAAGATACGAAGAAATAAAACGAAAAATCACTGCAATTCCAAGTATATTCACGAAGCACAAAATTAAGGAAGATTCCTTAAAGAAAATTGGCTTTGAAAATTTTTAACTGTTTTCCATCATTAATTCAACAAAGGAAAATTTATTAAAAAATCGAATTATTGAAAAAAATAATTAAGGAAAAGGAAATTTGAAAAAAGGACAATGGATTCTTATAAACAATTAAATTGATTAAATGGGGGTAAAAATTCAATTAAAACAATATGATGTGAACAAGGAAGGAGGAAATGTTATCTGATTAGAAAGATGGCACTTACAAGTACTCTCTTATTATTATTTTGTTTTCTGTAAAATATTTCCATTTCCTAATTCAAATTGAAATTCCTGTTGAAAACTCTTCTCACTAAATTTTCTCACTGTTTCTGTGTGAATTTTGCTCTTCAAAAGCTGAAGCATCGTAAAAAGCCTTTTAAAATTGATTGTTGAAATTTTGAATGAAGAGTTCATTATTAAGAAAATCATTTGCACGCATACTTTTCTGGCTTTCATAAGACTTTTTAAAGCGGAAAAATAAAAAAGAATCTTATTAGTTTATTATTTTTTTGTTTATTCATTTTCGAAAAGTTTTCAGCTCACAAGGAAACGTCAACAATCTTATTTACATATTCACGGCACGAAGTCCATTGATCATTATACATTAGAGCATGAATTTCTAAAAGAGATAAGTTAGTGACAAAAAAGTTGATGAAACATAGAAATCAACAAAATTCCACAAATTTCCTTTTTATGTAACCATGACAATACTGTCCAGCAAAATAAAAACATCAGTTCAACAGAGAAACGCATCTTGCTGATATGTACTTTTATTCATCCTCTTTTCCCAAAATGCTATGAAAAAGGACAAAAGACAAATGTATATTGAAATAGAATTTTATTGATCAATAAACAAAATTGTAGTTAATATAATCTTGAAATCATGCTTACCAGAATTTGCAGCCAGAAAAACTTTGCATCCTTACCCCCTCCCCAATATCGTTAACTAGACACCATAATAATACCGTTCATCTGAAATAACCGATATCATTTTATGTCTCAGTGGAGTCTCATTTTGCACTTAATTTTATCAAAATAAAAAAAAAAGATTCATATGGATTAGTATTGACAATATTCATTCACAGACATGTGGATGGGCAGTGGACATTTTTCTAACCGCACAAAGAGTTGTTTAGCTTTGGCCATATAGTAGAACTTTTAAACACCAAACAGACAAAACTTGATAGAGTTATGCCTTTCTTTCATCTCACTGGAAAAATTTTCATAAAATGATCAGTGTCCTATGAAGCATTTTTCCCACTTCTCTGTTTGAATTCGATGATTCGGATTTTAACTCAGCAATCCTTTATCAAATTGATCATCAAAAGAGAAACAACACACTTAATCTCCAATAAATCAATTTTTATAAATTTAGGTGTTTTTATTTAAAAGCACGGAAAAAAGTTTTATGCATTTATTTTCAAATTTAGAAAAAAAACCAAGCAGTTCAAATACAAGTAAAATGAAAAAAAACATAACAAACAAACAAAAAAAGCACTAGAAAGATATTATCATGCCTTTTACAGCATCATTAAACCGATTTTAAGGCAAGATCAAGTTCATCCCAAAACTGTTCCATCAGTTCACTGGTTTCCGGCCACTTTATACTCACAATAGACCACCAGATATATCGTAAGTCTTTTGGCATTCTTTGTATGGTTATATTATCCTTAATTATCACGATGATGGACTGTCTCCGATTATTATGAAACGAATGAGTTACCGTCATCTGGACAGCGTATGAATTCCAACCATTGGCAAGAAAGTTTTCAGTGATAATGAACAAAACTTTTCTACTTTTGTCAACACACCGTAACAATTCATCCGCTTTGGATATTCCAGGAATGAAATCTTTATCTGGAAAACTTATCTGAAATCCTCTTTGTGTTAGCGTTTGATATAATGTAGAACTTACAATTCTATAGTCATCTTCAGCATAAGATATAAAAGCATCAAACCCATAGTCCCCACTTTCCACGGAATATACGCCTTTCCATCTGCTACGTAACTTCAGAATAACATAATCAACATGAACACGATATTTATTCACAAGGAAAACGACGATGATTGCAACAGTTAAAATGGTTAACATGGAAAAAGAAACGGGCAGCCAAGTTCCTGTCTGACAATTTTTCTGAAATTCTGCAAACGCCCTTTCTGTTAGAAGTTCTAACACTGTTATATTCTTTTCCTTGCATACGGTTTCATTGAGATCTGTAAACAAGTACCGGATTTCCTTCATCAATCTGAGTGATTGGACGTGTAAACAATCACAGGTTATAGGATTTCCACGAACAAAAATCTCCGTTTTTCTTAATCTCTTAAGCATTATAAAATCTGACTCTGTGATCCATGAAATTTTATTAGAGCGAATGTACAACTGTTTTAAATTATGTAAATATGTCAGTGTAATTGGAAAAGATGAGAATAGGTTGCCATCTACATTTAGAGACATTAAAGATGTTTGATATTTTAATAATGTTGGGGGAAAGTTGTAAAAATGCCCCCTTTGCAGGTCTAGTTCTTCAAGGTTTACAAGATTATAGAATATTCTTTCCATACCATCAAACTTTAAATTTATATTTCCTGCAACAATTTTTTTAAGCTTAGTTGCTTTTTCAAATACATGAGGGTATGCCGTAGGGCATTCGTTGTCAGTAATATCAAGAATTTCTAAATTCGGTGTGTCAAGATCAAAAATGTATCGCATAGGAAAATTTGTTCTAGATGAATTTAGCTGTTCTAATTTTTCACCACTTATATTTATGCGCAATAAAGAAGGGTCTTTCAACATGATATCATGGAAGTAACAATCAGCAAAACTTAAAACTTTTAATTCCCTTGAAAGAGGAAATTTAACCGTTAAATTCCAACCAAAGTTCAAATGAGGCAATTTACGAAATATTTCCATAGCCTTCATCTTGGTGTTTGCACTTATATCAAGAAAGTAGAGTTTTGGAAATTTTTGTAGTAGGTCTAACTCTATGGTTGGGTCTAAAAATTTTATTCTATTCAGGGCGATATTAAGTATTTCAATACAGTTCCCCATATTGGTTCCCTGAGGATTTTTATTAATGCCATAGATGCGGTCATTTACAAGAGTAACATTTTTGACACAAATGCTGTAAAGATATTTGCTGTTACTTTCATTAAAAATGAAAGGCTTTATATAAAGGCTTGGGAAATTTTCGTTGGCAATAATGTATTCCATGGATCGATTTTGCAAGCATTTTAAACTTTTCATAACTGTATTCATGTCGCACAACCCCCCAAAGTAGATTTCTACACCCTGTAGGTATGGAAACGAGCAGAAAATTTCTTCACTGACATCGCAAAGAAGATGTTCACTGAAACGCATTGTCAGGTATTTAATTGGTGTTTGAGATAAGCCACTAAAACTGTCTTTGTGTATGTGGAAGAGTGACGAAGAGAATAGTTTCAATTCTCTTAATTTTTTGAGACGTTTGAACGACTCATTGAATCGAAAGGCGTTAAACACATCGATCTGTAATTTCTCCAAAGATATAAGGCTTGATATTTCGACATCAGGATATTTTGTAAATAAATTGCCACAAACTGTCAAAATTCTCAACTTTTTCAGGTGAGACAATGAGTTATATTCGAAAGCAAAATCTGTAAGACTACAAAAAGAAATACTGAGGACACATAAATTTTTCAGTAACTTAATGGAATCTGTAATTACGATTTTTAGCTTGTTATGGTTAAAATTCAGGGCTGTTATTCTACTAAGATTTAAATGAATGCCTTGGAATGTCATGGGAGATATCGAGTTAAAATTATTATGAGAAAGGTCAAGCATCAGCGTATTGTTGTTTAATTTGTCTGGGAATTCAGTAGGTATCTTTTCTAAGTTGAGGTGACTACAGTCCCACAGCAAGCCTTGATTGCCACATTCATCTTCGTGAGATACTATTCTGCATTTAGTCTCGCTTGTGCATTCTACAACTAGAAAATAATTATGTTTTAAAGACGCTGAATTAATGAATTACAGATTTGTACCTTCATACTTCCATTAATAAAATGAAAATTCTCACTATAAACTGTACAAATCATTAAAATGTAGCCAACGGTTCTTTGTATTGTCATGATTTTGCGTGGGCAGCTTTCTGTCAATCAGCTGATATCTGAAATTGATGAATGCAATTTTGAAAATGTCTCTTTATATTAGAAAAACTAGAATTAATAAAATTTGATAAAAAATAAAGAAATTAAATAAGAAGCATTCAGAAAGTGTAGTTAAGAACAGATGATACAAACAAACGTTTGTCAAAATATTTAAAATAACAAGCTGAGTCAAATGTTTATATGAGTAAAATCAACAAGTTTTGTCGCGTATTTTTCTTTTGGGGGGATAGATGATCTTATTCAAAGTTTCACAATTATGGAATTTAGAGTAATAACGATGGTTGCAGGAGGTACAATTGTGAACATTATAGAAGTTTAACAATTTCTTAATATTTTATAAATTTATTAGATGCGTCATTTGCAACACAATAGGCCCTGAAACAAGACCTGTACAATTCCAGGTATCCATTCGTTTTATTTGCATTATCTGTATCTCAGAATTAAATTAGCATTCCAAAAAATTTACTGTTAGCATTCAATTTATATGAGAAAAATGCTTGGCCAATTTTCATTTTCAAATAAGCATGATTTTTACCTGACATGCTTTTTGGAAGAATTAATAAATATAATTTGTTGGAACTGCAAATATTTATTATACATGCATTAAGATTTTTCCGGCGTTACATTTTAACATATTTTAAAACTAAGCTTTAAATGATACATACTTATGAATATTCTGCATCAATCCGACTATTTCATTTAGATATTGATATGACAACAACATAAGAATACCTCTCTATATTTATTTAAATATAACATGTAAACGTAAGAGATACTATATCAAGGAAATTTTCCTTATTTTAATGGGAAACACTTTTCACAAATCATCGAATCTTTTATTACACATTTATTTGACTTTTTTTATGTTTACATATAGGTATTTAAGTTCTTAACATAAAACAGTATATTTTTTGTCAATCAATAGTGTTCAAAGATATTATACTGAAAATAGTAATTGTCAATTTGCTATGCAGTGTTTCGATTCAGTATTTAATGTGGGGCTTTCTATAATCACCTTTATAAAACAGCAAATCGTAAGGTGACAATTATGAAAAAAGACAAAATTTATATTATCTGCCGTCAGATAATCGCTTATTTTGACCCACATGTCAACTTTTACATCACAGGATCCAATATTTTTTTCCCATTTTTATAATTGCATGATTGCATATTTCTGCACACTGAATATATATGCAGGGTTATTTTCGCCCCGTGTAATTTTCGCCCTTTCACACTTGCAAACAATTTAGTCCCGTTAAAAATTCGCCCATTAGTAGTTTAATTACAGAAATTATATGTATTATTTCATTTCGCCCTGTTTTAAAGTCTCTCAAATGAGGATAGGGCGAAAGGGGCGAAAATAAAACGGGAGCGACAATTTCCCTGTATACAGTATCAAATCAACTGACAATTAACCCCAAATATGATTAATATACTTTTGAATTGAATAGGTGAAAAGTAAAAGAAATCGTACTTTTTTCAATAGTTCTAAAACGAACGATGAAATGCGTGGCTACCTTTTTATCCATCACGTCTTATATATATTTAAAGAATATATGACTTTAAATATTCTACAGTCAATTTTACTAATTCATGCTGCAATCACCGATTATCACTGAGTATGTTAATTTTTTTCTCCCAGTTAAGTTGATGCGTGTGAGCTAGAGCATGCTTTATAAAAGAACAACATTATAAACTATACAAGCTCATAACAAGTAAGTATAGATGGTAAAAGGATATCAACATTCTTTCTCGTTAACAACCATTTCGCAATTGTATATTAGATACAATTGCCTTGTCAGCAAAAACAACCTCTTGTTCGATCGAATTTTGACTGAAATTTTTTTATGAAAATTGTCAGGTAATTATTTTCACTCTGAATCAATCACAAACGTTTCCGTTTGGCCGGTTCATGACAAGCTGAAAGAGGATGTTAACTGCTGCATGACACCTGATCTCATCAGTGATATTTTTGAGGTTGTCTTTGTTTTTGTTTACCATTTGTCGTGTTTAAATGCATTTGAATTTGATTACTGGTCGTTGTCTTAATTTGTCATTGTATATTATATTATCTGAAATACCTTTAAAAATCTGTATGATCAATTTGTATTCAGATTCAGATTCAATATGGTTCAAGAAAATACTTCAAGAATATATACAAGAATAAAATAATTTATTAAGTACTATCAAGGGGATACAGTCATCAAGAATATACAATTCTTGTGTAAAAGACTAAGCCAAGACTAAAAGGTGTAAAGAATATACTTAGTCTATTATTTCTCAATGCACAGTTTAATGATCTACTGCATATTAGGTACTGATTAAAGAAATTGGAAGCTTGAATTGTATGTCAACGGGAAAAAAGAATGGCATAAAGATTTACTTATCATAATTATTTTTTTAATGAAATAAATCAAATCTTAAAAGTGAAAAAAAATGAAAAAAAAATCTAACTTGTATTGCACAAAAAGAATTGACAGTTACACAAACTTATTTCTTTTTTTTTCTCAGGGAAATATATTTCGAAGGTATCCTTTTTATGAGGAAAGTGCGAGGAAATTTAAATATTTACAAAAGAACATCCCTTTAAAAAAATCTGTTTTATTAAATTAATGAGAATTGTTTTTCCTGTTTCCTATCATTAATTTGGAAAATACATCCAAGGAAAGGGAAATTGACAATAGGTTCTTATTAACGATCAAATTGATAAAAAAGGAAATTAAAAATTCTATTAAAACAATGCGGTATTAGCAGAGGTTCTAACCACTGCGCAATCAACTACAGGTTGCCACATTTCTTGCATATTTCGATTTTCCTCGACTTTAGACGATATGGAGTAACTTTAGGACGAATCAGATACGACTTCAGATTTTCAATTGTCAACTTTCCATAATATATAAGTAATAATACTGCCGAGTATACCACAATCACATGCTTATGGTGTTTATGTCTTCCAACTTTATCCCTTATGGGGGCTTACTATAGATGCGTTCAATTTTTAACGCGAGGCATGTTACTCATTGATAATTTGGCATTAAAGGGATTTCAACAGTCACGTTTTAAGTCAGCATTTAGTAATAATTGCTTCATGGAGTTTAAAAATGTTTTGAATCAAGCCATTTTAGACTGTCGGACGAGAGAGGGCAACCAAACAAATTTTGAAAGATGAGCTAACATATTATGATGATTACTGATATATTCAGAGCATACACACTGTGTTTACATTTATGTACATGCAATAGAATGTCGTTTGGACAAGATGTATTTTGCTAGCACGACGTATGCGGTTCCAAGGCCTACAATTTAACCCTTTTAATAAAATAATAATATCTCGTTTGCTTGACATAATATTTGTATATGCACGACCATTTTCTCGTTTGTTCTACAAATTATTTCGTTTGCACGTGCACGAGTTATTTCCTTAGTTGCACATGATTTAATCTCGTTTAAAAGATGTAAAAGTGTCGTTTCGCGAGATATTATCTCGATACAATGTCTTCTGTACGAAATAAGTTTTTGTATTTTCTTAAACTGAACAAATTCTAGAGTACATGTTTTTAGAATTTCTGGATAAGAAGAATATTCTTATCATGCGCCTAAAATAAAACTGAAAGTTTGAATAGAATTAATTACCAGTAGTTATTTCTATAGAAAACAAAGAGCCATTTCAAAATTATAGATATTATCTACAAAGTAAACTTGATGTTTATCACTCTGACAGAATAAGACATAATTTATTTACTGTTCCGATTCTTTTATTTTCTTTAATTTAAAATCAAAATAATGGACAGTTTTCTAGCTCAAAGTCCGTTGAAACAATATAAAAAACACGAGCGTTCTAAAACTTATGAGATGGGATTAGATATATTAACTGGAAACCCCATACTGTTTTTGGCTTAATTATCGTGTTTTAAATTCTCAAATTCTTTATATACATGTATAATTGAATTTCCTTTTCATAAAAAAAATCATTTTCCTAATAATTGGTACGTTTTTATCATCATTAAGAGTCATGTGAAAGACATCTTTTAATAGTGACACCCGGTACAGCATATTTATTCCACCAATTCAGCATGTTGTTTGGTCTTACTCTTTAACGGATAATTCAATGAAAATATTCATCACACAAGATCATGACCACAATAAGGACCTTACATTATACATCAATGATATTTGTCATTTTAAGTAAGCATTTTATTTTATTCTTTCTTTTTTACTGTAAATATGTTGTTATATTTTTTAATGTATTCAATATCATTTAATTCGATTTACGTAATAAGGTCAGACAAGACGTTCCTCAATATCTGTTTTGTATTTCTTCGTGATGTATGAAAAATATTCAAAATTTTAATCACATTCTGATTTCTAAACCATTTTTTATACGTCTTTAAAAAATCCAACTAATAATAAAAATATTTGAAATCGAATTTTTTTTTCTTCCCAAAAGAATTATATAAGAAAAACTACCTCTTGGCATTTTGCACAAAAGACTGTTAAGGTACCTCAATTTTTTGTGAGTAAACATGTTTAAGTAGCAATACTTCAATGACAAAATCTTGGAAAATTTTATATATTATTAAGGAAGTCGTATCGTCTGTCATTAATAGAAAATGAAATATGTTTTGAACGTACAATTTATAATTTAATTTTGTCTATTACTTCTAGTTGTAGAATGTGCGATGGAGAGGCAGTGCAGAGTTTTATCTCACAAGGATGAATGTGGCAACCAAGGCTGGCTTGCTGATTGTAGTCAACTTGATTTACAAAACATTCCTAGTAGATTTATAAACAAATTAAAAAACAGCACGATTATGTTAGACCTCTCGCAGAATGATTTTACTTCAATATCTCCGGAAACATTTAAAGACATCCATTTAATTTCAAGGAATGTAACAGCCCTGTATTTTAATCAAAACAAGATAAAATCAATACAAAGTCATTCTTTTCAACTGTTACAGAACTTGTGTGTTCTCAATATTTCATCTTGTTCTCTTTCGCAATGGTCCTTTGAGATGGGTGCATTTTCTAGTATAAGAAAATTGAGAATTTTGATCGTTTATGATAATTTATTCACAAGCTATCCTGAACATGAAATAACAAACCTTTTATCTCTGGAAAAATTGTATATCGATGTGTTTGTTGAATTTAGATTTAAACAATCATTTAGAACTTTAACAAAATTAAAGGAACTTAAATTATACCCGACATCCCATTTCCATATCCACAGCGACAGCTTTAGTGGACTATCTGAATCACCTATTCAATACTTGGATTTGAATTTCAAAAGACATGTGCTTTGTGACATCAGTGAAGAAATTTTCTGTTCCTTTCCCTACTTAAAAGGAGTAGTAATCTACTTTGGAGGGATTTGTGACATGAATGTAGTCATGAGGAGTTTAAAATGCTTGCAAAATCGAAGCATGGAATACATTGTTGCCAATGAAAATTTCCCGGATCTTTATTTGATGCCTTTCTATTTGAATAAAAGTAACAGCAAATACCTTTACAGCATCTGTTGTAAAAGCGTGTCTCTCATCAATGACCGAATTTTTGGCATAATGGCAAGTCCCCAGGGAACTAATATGGGAAACTGCATGGAATACTTTAATGTCGCCCGGAATAAAATTAATCTATTTTTGCCATTTTTAGGAATAGATTTTTTGCAAAATTTTCCAAAACTAAAGTTTATTGATGCAAGCTACCACGGATATATGGTTGATGCGAGCTACCACAACAATATGAACGTAACTGATGTATACAATAGCAAGTGGCTCAAAATGCTTGGATGGAAACCAAACATAACAATTACGGTTGATATTTCAAAGAATTTACAGTTCATAAATTATGCAGACAATTACTTCCATAATATAAATCTCAAGGACTCGTCTACAGTTCGCGTAAATGTTACTGCTAAAAACTTGCAAGAATTAAATTTATCCAATACAAATTTTCCTATAAGGTACATTTATGAGGCCGATACCCCAAACTTAGAAGTACTTGATATTACTGGTAGCACATGTCAAACGATATACGTTCATTTATTTGAAAAAGCAACAAAACTAAGGAAAATTGTTGCCGAAAATATAAAGCTTAATTTCGATGAATTGGAAAGCATTTTCTATAGTCTTAAAAACCTGGAAGAGCTAGATGTTTATAAAAGTAATTTACGAAACATTCCACCAACTTTATTAAAATACCAAACAGTTTTATTTCGTCTGAACTTGGACGAAAATTTCTTTCCGTCCTTTCCAGCTACGTTGAAATATGTACAGAATTTAAAAGAGCTATATATTCGTTTTAACAAAATAACATACATCACTGAGTCAGACTTTGTTACCTTTAAGAGATTAGGAAAAGCAAAGATTTTTATTCAAGGCAATCCAATAAACTGTGATTGTTTACATGTTCAATCACTTAAATGGATAAAAGAAATTCAGCACTTATTCATGGACCTTAATGAAACCCTTTGCAGTGAAAAGAGTTCAACAGTGTTAGAAATTATTCAAGAAAAGACCTTTGAGGAATTTGTCAAAAATTGCCAAACAGACACGTGGCTGGCCTTGTCTATTTTGATGTTATTAATTCTAATTGTTACAATCACTGTTGTTTTCCTTGCCAAAAAATATCGTGTTCATATTGATTATGTTATTCTGAAGTTACGTAGCAGATGGAAAGGCGTATATTCCGTCGAAAGTGGGGACTTTCAGTTTGATGCTTTTATATCTTATGCTGAAGATGACTATAGAATTGTAAGCACTACATTATATCAAACGCTAACACAAAGAGGATTTCAAATAAGTTTTCCAGATAAAGATTTCATTCCTGGAATATCCAAAGCGGATGAATTGCTCCGGTGTGTTGACAAAAGTAGAAAAGTTGTGTTTATCATCACTGAAAACTTTCTTGCCAATGGTTGGAATTCTTACGCGGTCCAGATGACGGTAACGCATTCGTTTCATAATAATCGGAGACAGTCCATCATCGTGATAATTAAGGATAATATAACCATACAAAGAATGCCAAAAGACTTACGATATATCTGGTGGTCCATTGTGAGTATAAGATGGCCGGAAACAAGTGATCTGATGGAACAGTTTTGGGATGAACTTGATCGTGCCTTAAAATCGGTTTAATGATGCTGTGAAATTTCTCGGAAAACTTAATAAAAAAAACTGAACCAATGAATAATTTCTGAAGGGTTTTTTGCCATATTAATGTCATACGCAACGTAGTTTGAACTTTATTGGGCTCTTCCCTTGAATTGAAGAGTTCCACTAAATGAAGGACCTGTGTGCAATACTTTGAATGTCTATATATGGATTTGTTCACCTCTTCTAAAACAAATTCTGATGGGAAAAAATCAAGAATTTATGTGTATTTTTGCGTATTTTCCTTTGAATAATGCAAAGATTTTCATAATTTGATATCTTCCAAAAAACCCTGGTAAGGCATGCTGATTTTTTGTCTATGGACATCTGATGGCACTATAATCTTGAATTAAGAATATCTTGAAAAATTATCAGTCCGTAAGGTACCTTGCGTATGTCCTTAATTTTTTAATATCCCAGATAGCATGACTATGTTGGGCCAACATTTGTTAAAGGTTGTATGGTTGGCGTTGGGGGAACAACGTTGGGCCAACGTTAGACCAATGTTACCAAGTCAACCTTCTCGACCATGACGGAATTCCTATGCTGGCCCATTGTTGGTCCAACGTAAGCAACTTCCATTCACTTTAGTTTCCAAAGAAGGAAGGATCATGGCGTTGGCCCAACGTTGGACCAATGTTTATAATACACCCTTAAAGAAAGTGTATTTACAAGTTGGTAGTAGTATGTTGGCCCAACGTTGGCCCATTGTTTGTAATACACCCTTAAAGAGTTTGTAGTAGTATGTTGGCCCAACGTTGGCACAATGTTTGTAATACATCCTTAAAGAAAGTGCCTTATCAAGTTGGTAGTATTATGTTGGCCCAACGTTGGCCCATTGTTTCTAATTCACCCTTACAGAACGAGTCTTATCAAGTTGGTAGTAGTATGTTGGCCCAACGTTGGCACAATGTTTGTAATAAATCCTTAAAGAAAGTGCCTTATCAAGTTGGTAGTAGTATGTTGGCCCAACGTTGGCCCATTGTTTGTAATACACCCTTAAAGAACGTGTCCTATCAAGTTGGTAGTAGTATGTTGGCCCAACGTTGGCCCAATGTTTGTAATACACACAAGTGTTATTTTGTTTAGGTCTTCAAAGATGGGATATTTATATTGGGCCAACGTTGGCCCAATTATTATACTGCCAACTAATTGATGGAGTCAATTTTATAATTAGCTGCTGAGCTTTACGTTAGGACAACGTTGGTACATTCTGAAATAATTGAGAGGACTTTCTATGTCCATGCTTATCAGTGGATGACTGCTTTTGTTTAGATATGATATTTTCAACATTTTAACTTAGCACTTAAGAGATCAAGCACCAAAGAGTGTTTTATTCTATTTTTTAAATTGTGTATATGCTTATTTATTTGTAATAACCCAGATAGCAGAACACCGTTGGCCAAATCTTACATTATGGTTCTATTATCTATGTTGGGTTACCTTGATTGGGCCAACAATGGCCCAGCATGGAATATTGATAGCTGGTCATGTATAATAGTGCACTAATTTTGGGCTTACTGTTGGCATTATATCATAAAACTATTATCATGAGAGAAAATATTTGTTTGGAGATTGGCATCGGCCCTACGTTGTGGGTAGACAACAACCGGGCTTCTTGTAATATCCGCGCCATTTTTAATCTGACACGAGCGTAATGAGACTGATACCTTGCATATCTGCACTCACTTTGTAAGTATTAATAATATGTTTGCCTCGGCACAGCTGAATTAACGTTTAGTTTTTAAACGATATCATGTACAAATCTGTGTAAATCAGACACGGGGAATGCAGAGGCCAGGTGCTGTTGGGTCAACACTGTACAGATAGCATGCTTACATTGGGCCAACGTTGGGCCAATGTAATCGGTTACATCGGGCCAATTTTGGCAAATGGCATTGACCCAATTTAAGTTTGCTCATCGACCCAATGTTGGCCCGATATGTTGGGCCAACGTTGGCCCAATGTAGAGTGTTATTTCTACAGATATTGGCCCAACGTCGCGCCAACATTGGCCCAATAAATGCGACATTGTTGGCGAAACGTCAACAAGAACATTGGGCCGATGTTGGCAAATGCCGTTGGCCCAGTGTCATTTTGCTCCTTGGTCATATGTTGGTCCGATATATTGGACCAACATTGGGCCAATGTGTATAAACATTTGATTGTTACAAATCTGTATATTAACAAATCTGATCGTCTCTACAATCAGAAATAAATCTACAACCAATCCTACTTGAAAAATCAAGCTAGCTAAAAAAAAATTTGAAATTCTCATAATTTATCGAAACAAAATAAATAATCAGTGATTAAATTTTTTGTTTATATACAAGAAAAATAAATGAAAGTATAAAAATGTGTTTTGATACAGTTAAAACAATTAATAATTTGCTCGTTATTTAAATTGAAATTTGTGTCTAGTAGAATACATTTCCGAAGTCTACCACTTAATTTACTTATATACACTTAACGTCGAGAACATGATCAAACATTTTGAAAATGTTGAATTTGCTGAAGTTAAAACAAAATTTATTCAGTACTAAAAATTAATTGGGTTCTTTCATTTAAAATTTGTTCAGTGTAACGACAAATTTTCAATACATGTATTTTATATGGGGCAACATTGAATCAAAATTGTTTTGATGATGATATCAAGCGTATGAATATTATGCATAAATGCCTTCATCACGCACGCTAATCACTTAATCACACCATGAAACAAAAAAGACGGTTATTCCTTAATTGACAGCTTAAACATATAGTGATATACTTGTAAATTTAATCGTATGTTTATGTTTACTCTTTACTGAGAAAAGTAACAAATATATTAAGTACCAAATATTACAATTTTAGTGCTACTGGAGATTCTAAAAAGACATGGAGAACACAATCAAAGAATGGCTAAGTATGCCAAGGACAGGGATGAGGGAGGAAGAAACGGACAGAGAAGAAAAGAAAGGGGAGGAGGAGACTCGGGAAGAGGAAATGGAGACTTAGGAGAGGGATCAGATGGAAAGTGGCAGTGCCTAACTTTTTTCTGTGATATAGTATGACATTCCTGTAGTTCTACTTTTTTTGTGTCTGTTTGTCGGTTATAAACTCGATGCAGATGCCAGAAAATTTTTTTCTGTAAGTAAACAAAATGACGGGATTCATTCTAGTATTATTTTAAGAACAGCTAGGAGGGCTTTGTTTATTTGTTAGACGTGCTTATTGATACCTGTAATTTACTGAACTTGTGCATAATTTACATCAGAGAGGGAGTATACAGTCATGTAACCCTACATGTATAGCTTGAAGTGAGCATCCACTTTTAATTCTTTATTAATGTTTTCTTCAAACACTGAGCAATAAGATTATATTGTGTTATAATTGAATTTTATATTTTGATTTCTTTTTTCTCAGTTTTTTTAATTAATGTAGAGCTACTTACAATGCAATACTTGTTGATGGCAATTCTATGAGAATATTGAGAATATGTATTAAACTATTAATCTAGCATATATAGCATATATAGATAGTATTAAAGGCTTTTACCATTTAACTGTACTACAAAACTAGTATAACCTTATTGTATATATTTGTTTGTCAATTTTGAGGACAAATGGCCAACCAGTGAAGAGCAAATGAGTTGTCATGATGGAGAGCCAATAAGATACAAACCAACGTTGGCCCAAAAATGATGTTTTCCTGATATTGAAAGAATAAGTGGCCCAACAATGGCTCAATGATATCCGTTCGTTGGTCCAACAATAAGCCAACAAGTTGGTTTGATTAAGGGCCGATGAGCAAAATACCGATGGCCCAACATTAATTGCTTACAATGGCCCAACTGTACAAAAATGACGTTTGCCCAACATTGAAAAAATACATTGGCCCAACAGTGGCCCAATATTAACTGTTACGTTGGCCCAACAATAAGCCAATAAGTTGGTTTGATTAAGGGCCGATGAGCAAATTACCGTTGGCCCAACATTAGTTGCTTACAATGGCCCAATTGTTCAAAAATGACGTTTGCCCAATACTGAAATAATACAATGGCCCAACAGTGGCCCAATTTTAACTGTTACATTGGCCCAACAATAAGCCAACAAGTTGGTTTGATTAAGGGCCGATGAGCAAATTACCGATGGCCCAATGTTGAATTCAAACAGTGGCCCAACATAAGGAGCGTTGTTGGCCCAACAAAGGTCCAATAACATCCTGCTATCTGGGATAATTTTGAATATAATTAATAGTGATATTTTTTGCTAATATCAATTTGACATGGTTACTGTATTGACTGTAGAATGTGCAAAATGTTAACTTTAAATTAAATTTATTTTTCACATCCTTGATTCATCAACTTGTTTCTCAGTGGGTTGTCTCGTTTGGAAATTGTTCGTACGAAGAACATGCACTTGCGCATCGAATCAACTGCATGGGAGACCCGAACTTCATATGCAGGTGATAGGGATATATTCTTATAGAAGAAGGGAAATTGGCTCGTATTTTCACTCAGAATTCTTTCTTATTAAATCTGCTTCATACAAATACAAATACAAAAAATAGTTCTGCTTATAGCAGTCGAAATTATTACATGTACCCATGGGAATTCCAACATATTATTGAAAGACTGGGCAGTTGCTCTCTAAAAACTAAATGGATGTAGTCAATCAAAATATCAAGCATCTTTTAAACATTAACTTCAGATAACCTGTGTTTAAAATCAAAATGATTTCTAAGAAAATAGGGGTTTTTTGCGAATGCCAATGACAAAGTTATTAAATTTCAGTATAAGTTCCATTTCTATCATTTGTGGAAAAGTGCCTGTATATACTAGATGCCAATAATTCTATCGACTAACGTTTCAAAAACCCTTGAAGTCGTATGATTTAAATATTGATTATTATCCAATTAATAGCACCTTGAATTTTACATTTCAGTCTATGGGCAGCGCATGCTTTATAAAGATATCGTAAAAAATATGAATTTCAAATAAATCT